CGTGAAAAGCGCTATATCAGATGCAAGGATTATTATTATTATTATTGTTACTGTGGTGTTTGCTCCAACAACGACTCTTAAACACTCACACTTATAATCTCCCTATATACTAGCAAACCGTGTGCATGATTTGGCTGCTCCCCCCTATGGTTGGTGCAGAGAACTGTGTGTCTATCGCTGATTGCCTGTCCCAGCACCAGGAACCGTGTATTTTTTTTTATCCTTTCAGTTGATGTAGCCCCTTTCACGTCGGGAGTACGTCTCAAAGAGTTTAACAGGATTTACCCATTCGTAGGTTGGCACCTCTGACAATATAGCACATCATCCACACTGCGTTGGAGTATCAAATTAGACGGTCTGTGTTCAAAGTCCTGACCACAAGAGGCAAGATCCACAGAGATAAATGCAATCTCCTTACAGAACCATGTAATGCAGATAATTTCCTTTCAATGAAAACCATTGTAGCTCATAGATTCTTTTATATTAATACTATGTACTGGAACGACTGATCGTGTCAGTCATTTTGAAATGCAACAAGAAGAGGGCTTACGAATTTATTTGATGTGAAAAATATTCATTAAAGTATCAAGAAGTCAAATTACAATAAAAATGTCAGTAGTTTATGAACTTCATTTGTCTGTTGCAGATGGTAGGAAATCTTCATGATTGTCATTTAACTGGCTGTCTTTTTTATTAAACATAATGTTCGAATTGACATAAATATGCAGTCGAATGCATTAATATGCCAGTCAAATAAATACCTCATTCTTCCTATTGGCATTCTGGTCTAAAACTGTCTATATGTACAATTATCTTTGTATTTGATATCCAACTTGAAAACAATCTCCAACTTGTCTCTACTTTTCGTTACATTGAAAGTAAATTGAGGTTTGCCACAGATACCTAAGATATCAATGTTTATCAATAACAAGGGTTGATAGGGCAGTGGGTTGCAACATTGATCTTTTTACTGATCGATTTTAGAGAATTAAAGTCTACTTTGTCCCAAAGATGTCAGGTTCCTAAGCTTAAATGAAATAAGTTGAGTTTCAATATTTTAATATGTTCAAATCCCGCCTAAAGACCTTCCTTTCTGATCATGCTTACGGTCACCTCCCCCCTCCCTTTCTCCCCTCCCCACCCCCCCACCCCGGCTCGTTGTCAGGCTCTGCTACTGTCAAGCACTCCAGGACGATACCCTGCGTGAATGGCGCTATATAAATACAAGTTGTTGTTGCTGTTTGAGCATCACTTACAAGGCAGCACGATATACACAAAGAATTTGTCTTCACTGAAACACAAAGGGCTCGGTCACTGAACAGTTGGTAAGTTAGATGTCACATTATCCTAAACGTATTAGTTCTGCACCCAGTTCCACGATGGAATAAAGATAAGCAGCAATTCACATAAACATCTGTAGAATCCCCAAAGGCAGGGAAGTTAACTCTCTGTAATATTGCCTCATTTGTCTGCCAAATTCACAATCTGAAGACAATGTTTGGCATTGTGTTTGTGAGCTAACATTAGCAGAGGGTTGCCCAGACAGATTCCACAAACATCGAGGCCAGAGAAATTTAATGTGACATTTATCATCACCCACCATGATTGCTTTGGTGAATGGTTTGTACTGCAGATAAATCAACAGTCCTGCTGGGTAACTGGACAAAGACTGAGAGCAAAATAGGTAGAGCTTCCTCCGTTCACTACAAACAGGGCAGATTCCCAGCCAATTTATGTCCTGGTTCTAAAAAACGAAGAAATTACAACAACAACTTGCACTTATATAGCACCCTCCACACAGGGTAGCGTCTCAGAGCACTTAACAGTGGCACAGCCTGACTCCATTACCTCCTCAGTTGGACTGAGACAGACTCCTTCTGAGCTGGTCAAAGACAATTGGTAGAATAGAATACTGTATCTACTTTCCTTAGTGACTTGATCCCATCTTCCTTTGACATCAGTTATTGTACATAATAGTCAATTTCTCCACATTGTTTTGCACCCCACAAAAAGGACCTGGATAAGCCTTCAAGGAATAAAGTGTTAACTGTGCCTATTCAATCTGATTTAGTGTGAGGCATGAGATTGCTCCACAGATGCTTTCTCAGCAAAAAAAAACTAACATTTCTTCTTAACTTCACCAACGGAATTAAACAAACAGTCCAGAATCTACATTACTTGATCAATAGCTTTGGTGCTATCATCACTTTGATTCTTCCAGTTTCTTTCGCTCAGTTTGATATTGGAAACCTTGTGGTTTTAGTATTGTAATCCAAGTTTGTATATTTTTGGTCCAGGACTAGTAGAAATATGCAAAACATCCTTTTTTGGGGGAAAAAATCCATCTGGAATATGTTAGAGGGAGTCTGGAATTATGAAACACACAGAGTTGGAAACTACAGGACTTTGAGTACTTGGGAGAAATAAATGGAAATTTTTGGTATGTAACAAAAAAAATTGGAAAAGCAAACTATTGAGATATTGATACAGTTGGTTCCTTTTAAACAAATTGCTTTTTGCCATGAAATTGCATTCACTCCTTGGGAATATTTACACGTTAGGAATCCACATTGAAATATTAGGATGCATTCCAAAGAAAACTTTGTGGTATGGATTTAATTGCAGTGATACGACATGTAACCTATTGATTAGGTTCTGGGAACCGTTTTAATATTAAATGTCTTCACTTTGCCAAAATTTTTAAAAGAAAAATGGAAACAAATCTTTTACATCTCAAACAAATCGTTCAATTGAAAAATTAAAAAACAAACTAATCCATTAGGTCTATCAGTGTCTGAATGAATAGGAAACCAGAAAGATTAGATCACGACGATCTAATCCTTTTTTGGCGGTTAATGCAAATGATTTGAGTTCGAGACCACCCGTTGAATTGCTTTATCTCCATTTAAAATAATACTGCTTTAGGGCTATCTAATAGCCTTAATGGGACCATTTTTAATTTTACTAAACACTATCAGTCTTAGCAAAGCTAACAACACTTAATTGTGCACCTACACAGCTCCTGACAACTACATGCTCCTAAGATTTTGGAGATGGTAATACAATGTCGTTTATCTAATTGCTTTACTGGAAGCAATTCAACATAATTTCTTGCGCTATAAATGGGACATTCATTATCACTTCAGCCCATCATATTTATTAGTAAGTAGTTTACTTTTGCTTCATTCATTTATGGATGTGTATCTGCCCCATCCTTTGGCAGTGCATTACGGGGAGAATTTCCACCTGTGCCTTGAGTTAGGGTGACAGTGGCGGAGTTTGAAGGAGTTTGAGTGACCATCAAATCCTGTTTACAGAACATTGTAAGCATGAGCTTGAAAAAAAACTGTTTTTTATCTACTCCCATTACTGAATCACAAGCGGCTGCTAACAATGCCTTGAGACATCCTCCCGACGTGAAAGGCGCTATACAAAGGTAATTTTGTTGTTGTTAACCAAGTTTGACTTAGTTTCTACCAGAATTGTTTTCTGTGCCAATCTCCCCCTTAACCTAACTAAACTGGAAAACTGCATATATTCCAAATATAGTAACGCTGGAAAGTAATTTAGACAGAGGGAAAATACTCAAAAATAAACTATCTTTCAAGATTTGGCAGTACATGAAAGACAAGGGTTTTGGACATTTTTATGCAATTTATTGTTTTTAGCCCCAAGTTTTACCATTTATAGGTTTATCTCTCAATGGCATGTAGTCCTACATTTGTTTTTCATAAACAGCACATGGAAGTAGTTAAAGGTTTATGTAATATTTTTATATACTTTTCTTAAGCTTATCAAAAAAAGCTACTTCTGGGTTGTTGATTGACTTTTTTTTGGTAACAAAAAGATTTCAGAGAATTTAATTTCATCAAGCATTGTCCATTTCCTTCTGTAGTTTGGTTCAAGATAATATTGTGTAAGGTCTGGTCCATTTACAGTCTGGTCCATTTTTTCTATCTCATTTACTCAATCTACTCCATCTTACAACTGAACTAGTCCTGGATTCATTTTTGTACGGTAAACAAGCTAACCTCCAACTACTTGTGCAGTGCTTTTCACCTACGATCAGTTGGTAGCACTCTCACGTCCGACTCAGGATGTTCTAATTTTAAGCCCCACACAGGAACTTTGAAGTCACGTAAGGATGACCAACTTGTGGCCCCTGGGCTGCATACCTGACCATTCTACGCATGCGTACCGTTACCCGCAAGTTGGCCATCCCTGGCCTAGACTGGTACGCCAATACAATGCAGGAGCGGCGTTGCATTGTCAGAGGTGCTGTCCTTCGGATGAGATGTTAATGTGAGATCCCATCGCAAACTGCCTGCCCGGTCTCCTACAAAATAAGTCACTTCACTTCATAGTAAATCCTGTGAAGTGCTTTCAGACATTTTCCTGATGTGAAAGGGTGGTCCACCAAATGCAAGGATTGTTATTAGGATAATCACAAAGCTCTGGGACTGAGGTCTGTACTAGCAGGGTGAGTGACAAAATTGCCACACCTATTCCAGCCCTGCATACCTAAATATATGACTTTCCAAACTGGAATACTTCCCACAAGGACATGACATTTTCACATGATGGAAGATTCCAATTGGTGTCAGGTATGAAAACCCATAGCATTTTGATCATCAGTCGATTTAGGCTTCAGACTATAACTAGTATTCCTTAATGCGTCAACGTCATTTATTTTGTATATTCAACCACCTAGTCTGCCACGGTGACAAATAAACCCTACTCGTACTTTTTAGAAAGCACACAGCTACGTAAAATAGCCGCCCAGCAATTATTCAGTACAAGCATGCCATCTACTGGATAGAGTCATTTTATGCCTTTTAATCAAATGATACGAGTGGAAGTGTTGGCGATAAGGGTTCATCACCACAAATAAAATTATCACACTAAATATCACATAAGGAAGCTGCAACATAAATGACTGAGAGACTTTTCTATGCAAGGCAATCTACAGTTTTTACAAGAAACACACATTTACAGGTGAGTCATTTAAATTCTTGCTTGCATACTGTATTTGTTTAATTCGATGTTCAGATACCATCCAAAACAAAGGTAGTTCCTAATACAAAAGGCAGATTCCTAACAAAGTTTGTTATTTTAAAACGGGACCACACCACAATATATTTAGTATAACATAAATCTTACACCTCATGTACAATGCAATTTATTGACACATCCTTTTCAAGATGGTCTGAATCTTTGTTACTTAGCTTTAGAACCACTCCGAGTTATTCAATTTCAGGCTAATTCAGGCACCTTTTTCCCACAATAATAATAATAATAAATGTGAATGAAATAGAAATGCTCTGCACAGTAGTGGAGCATTTGGCCCTTCTACTGACCTGGAATCTGTAATTAATAAACAAACTGAAATGTACATTCTCTTATCAGGACAGTCGAGTTAGATGTTAATGAGGTACATAACTGCACCACCAATGGATCAAAGTAAATTTCACAATGATCATTTCAACTCTCAGAAAGCTTGTACAAATGACTCAACGTCACAGATACCAGCTTCAGTAATGGTAATGACTGGTGCTAAACGTAATCAACCACATTTCCTTCACTGTGACAGGTGTTGATGAATGCCTCAAGTTAATAATTAAATTAATAATAATAAGTTGGTTGGTTTTGTTTTTAAGATTAAAAAATGTTATCATCTCAAAAGCAGTCAACGAGTTCAATCGAAAAGGATAAAATGTACAAATTTTAAAAGATCAACCCACTTTATTTCCTAGAATTATAACAACATTTACATATTTTTCTGAAAGTTTCAATTGGGCTTTATAATTTTGTTTCTGTTCATTTATTACAATAGGCATGGATTATTCCCAGAAGGAGGAAAAGCAAATTTGCAGAAGGTTTGCATAAAATACAAAATATTAGTATACAACAAGTTTAGAACTGAATGAATCATGAGCAACATGGTTCTGTGGAGTAGGAAAGAACTGAACAAAATTGTTGGTGGTCAATACTACTCAGTGGTCCAAATACAAGGATTGAAATTCAGGTCAGTGTAGTTATTGCCTTTTGGAAATGCACCATTACAATGGGGGAAATCCCTTCAGCAGCCAACATTGTCAAAGGCAAAATTATCAACGACCAGAATTTAAATTTACAGTAAAACTTTACCAGCTGCAGCAGGTACACTGACACAGACATCATGAATCCAACTGAACTGCACCAATTACTTCATTGATTTGTTGTAAAGTTAGAATATTCCTGTGCAGCTCCAGTCCTAGGAAACAGGTGTTTGGTAACAACAAGATTCAAATATGCAAAGCCTTGGCTCTTGTTCACCATTCTTTGAAGTTGTCATGATATCTCCAGTGGGGACTATAAAATGTGATGCTCCAAATGTAGATCTCTTCATTGTTGCCCAGAGATTGGAACTCTAGTTGTGGACGTATTATGGTTACTCCTTTACATGGCTGCTACCAGATACAGAGATACACAGCCAGAATGCAAACAAGACGGCAACAGATTCTCGTAATACCACCTAACTAGAAGCAGAAACAAAAACACTGATTGCTCTCGGCTCTGGACTGTGTATTCTAATAGGGGTTACAGTGAAAACTTTTCACCCTGAGTTGAATTCATACACTATGTCAACTGGAGTAAAATGCCTAGTAAATCAGATTATAGAATACCATAGTGTTCAAAGTAAATCATTCTTATCTCGTCTCACAAAGCATTATAAGTTGGCCTTCCAGTTTCCCAAAATACACTCACCTTAATGCCAAAATTAATCTCCCAAATCTCTGATTTGAGTACCCAGAAACAAAGCTGTATATTTATAGTCAGAGAGAATAAGAGTAAAGTCAGAAAGGAAGAAATGGGAACAAAATTACCAAGATGCCTTTTAAACAAACGTCCAATGGATTTCTTTTGTCTTTTTAAGCAGTAGGGAATTTGTTCTTTTGAGCACCCGAAACATTCATAACACTCAGAAAAATAATTGCAAAATCATAAGAAACACAAGTTCCTTCACCAGAGTGGAAGTTGCAGAAGCAGGCACAATGTCATTCACTGCAACATTGAGGGCCTAATAAATTGTTTTTCACTCTTGCTAAAAGTCATGTTTTTGTCATTTAAATAAAGAGGAATGATTTTACAATGCAACAATCTGTAGACTATAATATTTACATAACCAATATCCTACTAGTTATTTCCTGCAAAATACGACATTACTGAACAATTACTCTTCTCCAGCTGGGAGGTTTTCTTCAATCCTTTTAATGAATTTCATTCGGATTTCTGTTACATTGTCACCTTTCAGTGTGTCTTGGACAAACTTCACATCAATTGCCATTTGAACCTAATAGTGAAGAACAAATAATTGTTTAGAAAATGCACCCACCACAGGTGTTCCACAAATGCTCTTATAAGGATGGAAATGGAGAGGGGGTGAGGTGCGGGGGTATCAGGGTTCTGCGGGCCAAATATTTTGAATCAACTTGAGAGTACTCTTTCTACACATTAACTGAGGGGCTGAGCACCAACTGAAGGTACAGATCAAAAGTGTTTGCATCTCAATTCATTTATAATTGAAACAATACTGCAAGCTTTATGCTGTTAATAATACTGGTCTCATCTTTTTGTTCAAAAGTATCCTGTAGCAAACACGGAAAAGAACCATTCCAGGACTTTCTTTCCTTCTCTTAAAGTATTCAAGAGCAAATGAACAACTTGCATTCAAGCGCCTTTCATGTAGAACATCTTGAAGTGCTTTACACACATTGTGGGAAACCGAGAGAAGTGGGAAGGGAGGAAGTAAATGAATGCAGAGCTGAACTTGGGAGGTTTTTAAGAACGGATTTTGAAGATAGAAAGACATTGAGAATGACAATTGAATTGTTCAGTGGGTGGTTACAATCCTCACCATTTCCAGTGCTCCTCTCAGAACTCCACAGAGGAGATTAGAGTAGATCAGATTAGAGTGGTTGTCAGGCAATTCCACAAAGTCGACAAGTGGATTATTTTCCAGAATCAGTGAAAATTCATCTCCTGCTGGGCTCCAGTTGGTCACACTTGGAGTTATGCCCAGGTACATTTTAAATGCAACCTGTTAACAAAAGATAATCTTGTAAAATTGTGGGCACTCTTAATTACTCTACAGTTTAAACATTTGTCCAGGATAATAGACAAAAAACAAAAAAAACTAAGTAACGCTCAGAAAATCTCTTTCATGAAATTGAAAATAGTTAATTTCTTATAGCTCTGTCCATAGCAAATTTTAGTTTACCTTTGCAATAACATCTGCAGTTTCACGGAAGTCATGACATCTCCCAACATTAGAACGAGCCAAAAAATCTTCAATTAGTCGAACACCAATGTTGTATCCCCTGTGTTAAAACATGGGACAAATCAGTATCCGAGGAGTGAAACAAGAAGGTGGCACCACACCTCGCAGCTTCTGGTTGACACAACAAAGGGGGCTATGGAGCATCTCATAGAGGAAATTGTAAAAATGCTATTTTTCTGGAGAGAAGCTCAGGATACCTATGACCCAAGCATTCAGCGTCCAGAGGACTTGTTTTTCTGTGGATGTTCTGCTCTTGATAATAATAATCCCAACATCCCAGCAATCGCTCAGCTATTCAGCTCTCCGAAGCTCTCCTCAACTCATTCAACACCAACCCTCTCACTCTGTTTTCAAAATTCATCTCATCCCCTCTCTTTGACTCTGCCTTCAGGCAACTCCATCCTAACCCCATCTCCCACCTCATTTTCACACACCTGTGCTCATTCATGCTTTCCAAACCAAAAGTTTTTACAATAAAAAGGGGAAATATACAGTTCTGAACCAGTACCAAGAAATCACAGCCCAACAGGTAATAACTGATATTTTCAAGTGTACTCACATTTTATCCAATTGCTTGTTAACATCTTCATCATTTTCATAATCTTTACACAGTTGTGTAACCAGAGCTCCATAGGTCAGAGTGAAGAGCTCTGAATTCTGTTGAGGAAGTAGAAGGAAACTGGCTAAATATTTTATCATTCGAATGACATTGTCAACCTTCATGTATGGCATCATATGACCAATGACAAAAAAGCATAGTTAAGACCATTCACCAAGACATTTTAAAAGAAAACAGACAGAAGTGATTTCAATATTTCCATCTTATCTTTTGGTTCAAGCAACAAATATAAACTAGACACGCTTCACTCTCAACCGCCCAGATGTTGCCTGAAACCTTCAAGGAGATCACAGTCTTGTAACCAAATGTGATTTTCCAGTACTCAGTGAGATTATATTCAACATAATAAATTAAGACGGGCCAGAACATTATAGACAAACAGCATTTTATGTTATACTCTTAGTGAGTAAGATGCAAAACAAGGCTCCTGTAACAAATTATTTTCTAATTTTGTATTACCATTTCACATTACTATTCTAGTGGATTCAACACAAATTCTGTATTAATGATTAAAAATGTACTTGTATCATTTATTTTTAGTCGAAAATGCATGTGTATGTATAATTTTCATCTTTTGATCATGTTCTTAATAAGATAACCAGTGTCCAGTGTTCAATGACCTGTAAAATGTATGTATCCACTACACCTCAGTACATTTCACAGATTAAATCAAATAATCTAGAAATACATGTGCATACAACAGATATTTAGGAAGATTATGCAGGTCCTTTGATGGTTTGGATCCAAAAGAGACGGTTTAATCATCTGTGATCTCCAGTGGTTTCACCTACACAAAGCAGTAAAAACTTTGTAACAGCATTTAGCTGACCTACCTAAAACAAAACATTTAGAATTCAGATTTTAAGAAGTCTATTTCCAGTAGTGACATTTGCTCAGATTGAGTCTCTCGGTGTGCATTATTTGATACCCAAATGAAAAACGTCAACATACATAGGAATAACAATGAATCAATTTCAATAGAGCGAAATTAAACCATACATTGCGGCACACCTAATTTTCAAAAAAAGTTTAGTATTCCTAACACCTACCATAAGATGCAGAGATGCAGAGGGTGAAATGAATGGCAAATACCAGTACTACAGAATGAGTGCGTTAGGCAGAGAGGAGACAGGAAAAAGACAGAATCGAGATTTAGTGACATCACACACAAAGCAAAACATGTGCACAATGAAATAAACATCAATAATAATAATCCTTGCATTTGATATAGCGCTTTTCACGTCGGGAGGACATCCCAAAGCGCTTCACAGAACACACTGTAAAGTGAATTGACTGTATATTTGTGGGCGAACGAGGCAGCCAATTGCGCACAGCAATGTCCCGCAAACAGTCGTAGATTGAAAATGACCAATTTATTATTGTTTTTGCTTTCTGGAGGGATTATTATTAGGTGTGTGGAGTAAGGAAACTTGCCCAAGGTTTCGCCCTGTCTGGAATTGAACTCAGGTCTCTCACTTGCAAAGCGAGTGCTCTAACCACTGAGCTACAGGACTCCAAGAGGATACATTGCCCAGATTGAATATATAGCATTCGGAGAGTACAATACAATACAATACTGCAACTCCATTTATACAGCAAACAAATCACCCAACTCTTGGGAAATTGTATATTGACAACTCAATACTCAACATGAATGCAAAGTATATCAATGATATTTCAGAAACTGAGTCAAATTTTTACCTGTCTGAAAAACAAAGTGAAATATGTCCTTGTTTCTACAGAAAATTCTGTTTGAATGCACAAAGCTGCTAGAACATCTGTAAAAATGTCATCTAGAACCTTCATTTGCTAATGTCCACCACAGTGTTTTCTCCACATATCCGCAACTTCTCAAACGTTTGGGCATACATACCCGTACCTTGGCAATTTATTTGCTGTATTCACAGGTCTAAAACACAAGCAAATGCCATTTACACAAATGTTTACCTAATGGAGTGAAATCACACTTTGTGAACTGATTACTGAACACTCTCCCATGACACTTTAAGCAAAATTGATGAAAACACAAATGTCTTCCGAGTCATACTTAGGACAACTTGTCAAAATGGAACCCATATCTAACTATATTAAAAACATTTAGGTATAACTAGTAGTAGGTACAGGTTTTAATTAAGAGATTTCCCATAGTCGGGTCATTATTTGCAGAGGTAGAAAACAGGACCAGAAAATCTTGGAAAGAATTACAAAATATCATCAGAGTTTATTTGTATTGCGCATGCACAAACCAAGTATCTGGTTACGAAAAGTATCTCCAACCCCTTCCCCAATTTAAAAATGCTTTGAAGTGTTTTGCACAGTGCATTTTCAACTCATTGGTCCTGTTAACTTCCATAAACACCCAATGACACAAGATTGTAATAATAATCCTTGCATTTAATACAGCACCTTATCATGTCTTTGAGACATGAAAGCGCTTCACAGGATATACTGCAACACGAATTGACTTGTGTGTTTTGTGGGCGAAACGCGGCAGCCAATTGCGCACAGCAACGTCCCGCGAACAGTCGTGGATTGAGTGACCAAATTATTATTATTATTGTGTTTAGAGATCAAACTTATTGTGGAAGTGCTTCATGCGGTTACTTGGGCTGCAAGTCAGTGACAGACAAATATCAGGTCATAGCATAGCGGCTGATCTCAGTGTTACGGTGTCTGTCTGCATAGAGAGGTAGTTCCACAGCAACAGTAAGTCTGAGTGAGAGAGATGCTCAGACTATTATTATTAACTCGCTCATAATAATAATAACCCTGCATTTGATACAGCGCCTTATCACGTCTTCGAGACGTCTCAGAGCGCTTCACAGGATGCACTGCAAAGGGAATTGACTGTGTATTTTGTGGGTGAAACACAGCAGCCAATTGCGCACAGCAGCGTCCCCACAAACAGCCGTGGGTTGAAGTGACCAATGTAATATTGTTTATTATTGCTCGTGCCTTGCACCCTAAAACTGCTCCAATATTTACCAGGGCCCCTCTCACAAAACAACCCGAGGAGCAACACAGACACACACACACACAGACAGACACACACACAGACAAATAGAGAGACAGACACACAGAGAGACAGACACACACAGACAGACACACAGAGAGACAGACACACACAGACAGACACACACAGACACACACACCATATCGCCTGTTTGCAAGCACAAGCCTTAAAGAAACTGTCTCTGGAACTCTATCCCCAGTGCCTTCGCCACTTCCTCCCTCTCCTCCTTCAAGGCCGGTCTCAAGACCTTTCTCTTTGACCGTCCCTTCAGCTCCGCTCTCGACTCTCTCCCCCCTCCTCGCTCCCTCCCCCTGACCATCTCCCCCCTCCTCCCTCCCCTCCCCCTCCTCCCCCCCTCCCTCCCCCTGACCATCTCCCCCCCCAAGGCTCGGGTCCCGACCCAACTGTACAGCGCCTCGGGACGTCCTCCCGACGTGAAAGACGCTCTATAAATGGAATCTTGTTGTCGTTGTTGTTGAAACACCCCCCCCCCCCCCGCGAAGAGATTTATTTCAAAGCCATGAAGCGGCGGGGGGGGGGGGGGGGGGGGTGGGGGGGAGAGGAAGGCGCCACTGGTCAGGTCGAGTCGCTGGACTTTTAGGCCCAAACTCTCCCCCCACACACCCCCACACACAGGGCCCAGACTAACCCCCGCAAACCACTGGCTCCCGTCGGCCCGAACTTGAGCGGAGGGGCGTCGGGGTGAACCGTGGGCGGGGGAGGAGGAGGGAGGAAGGAGGGAAGGAGGAGGAGGGGGAGGAGGAGGAGGGGGAGGAGGAAGGGGGGAGGAGGAGGGGGAGGAGGAAGGGGATTACCATTTTTTTGCTCTCGGTGCCCCGGTTTGTCTGACGTGACATTTCTCCTCAGGAGAGGGCAGTGACGGTTGGGCCGCCGCCTCCTCGCGCTCAAACACTGACCCGAACAGACAGACGGCAGCTCGCGGGGCGGGGGCGGGGCGAAGGGAAGCGCATGCGCCAAGCTGCCCCCCCACGGCCCCGCCCCCCCCGGCCCGGCCCCGCCCCCCGACTACACCACCCAGCGGCCACCCCTCCCCCCGACACCCCCCCCACCCCTCCCCCCGACACCCCCCCCCCCCCCCCGACACCCCCCCCCCACCCCCCCCTCCCCCCACACCCCCCCACCCCACCCCCCCCCGACACCCCCCCCACCCCTCCCCCTGACACCCCCCCACCCCACCCCTCCCCTCCCCCCGACACCCCCCCACCCCACCCCTCCCCCCGACACCGCCCCCCACCCCTCCCCCGACACCCCCCACCCCAACCCTCCCGACACCCCCCACCCCACCCCTCCCGACACCCCCCACCCCTCCCCTCCCGACACCCCCCCTCCCCTCCTCCCGACACCCCCCACCCCACCCCTCCCGACACCCCCCACCCCTCCCGACACCCCCCACCCCTCCCCTCCCCCCGACACCCCCCACCCACCCCACCACTCCCCCCGACACCCCCCACCCCTCCCAACGAAACCTCCACCCACCCCTCCCCTCCCCCCCCCACCCACCCCCCAACATCAGGTTGGAATAAAGAGACCCAACTGTGCAGCACAATCATTTGTTTTATTCTGCCATTTGGTTTCGCTTCATTGTGTAATTCCAAGAACATCTCAGGGCTCATCTCTCCATCTGAGTATCAGAGGGCAAAACAGGATAGAATGCTCTAGTAAAACTTCACAGGAAAGTCTGCCATCCTCTCCTGGTAGATGGAATCAAACCATTCGTTCTGGGCCACTAGAAAGTTATATTTCCAATCTCCAACAATCCCTAGAAACGATAAAATACCCGCTATCAACTTCAGTAAAAACAAGAAAGGATAACACCGTTAATGCTTGCTTCATCTAATAGTTTCTGATATAAAACTTGTTCATACTAACAATGTAGTGTTAACGGTTTCAGGCAGTAGTAGACCATTGATCGGTCCATTCAGCCCAACCATCTGAATTTCCACCCCATCATCCAGTGTATGTTTCTCTAAATCCAATCACTCTACGTGATGGATGTAAATGTAGAGATAATGTAGAGCAGGCCGCACTGTCTGGTTAAAGCCCAATAACTTACACTCATTACTCTTGTATTCATACCAAAGTCTTTCCCAGTAAATCTAAAGACTCCAATAGAGATTACTCACCCTTCCGTTGAAATTTCCCGCGGTCATGGTCCAAAAGGTCCTTGGATAGCGATAAAAAGTTGGTTGCAGGGTCAGCTCTCATGTTTTCAAATTTGCTGTATTTAATAATGGTGTCTATGATCTTTCCATCCAGCTCTTTGCCAAGAAATTTTCTGATTTTTTCTATCCCAGCTCTGATATCCTTTAAGAAATTAACACATGGTTCAGAATACTCAATGAAAACTCCAAAGTAGGATGATATTTCAGGTGGATGCATTGCATGCATTTGATATACCATGAATAACATATTTTGAAATGTCAGATCATTTCAGCAAAGTGTATTTGCATGCAAATAAATAGCCAATGTCCAAGAAACAGTCATGAAATGAATAATTAAATTATATGGAGTATTGTTGACCGGCGTACTGGGAGAAACTTTCTTATCCTTTTGGATAGTGTCATGGACTATTTCTCATCCACCTCAACCGATAGATGCACTCTCAGTTTAATGTCTCTTCAGATGGACAGCCACCATTCATTCTGTAGGTAGGAACCTTATCATGGTCTCCAGTTGGCTTAAATGTTATCTTCAAAGGTCAGTTTATCAGTCGGCTGAAGCTCATGGCTTGAAAGCTTGGTCGGGTAACATTTCCCAATTCACAAGTTATCTGCCCTCCCAGAAACCAAATTAAATTTGTTCAAATTTCTACAATCACGGTGCTACTTACTCTATGGATCTCCTCGTAAGTTACGAACAACATGCTTATTTCCTCCTTGTTGCTGTACCAGTCTCTAATGTGGTCAAACCAAGACCCATAAAACACTTGGGAGATAAAAGTAATATAGAGAATTAAGATTAAAAAATTAATGAGGATAAGTAATCAGAATTTTATTTGTTAAAACATAATTTTGTTTTTCTGCAGTTCTTAAAAAAAATTGGCTTCCAAATTAAGACAGACTTTAAGAATCACGCACAATTCTGAGTGATCTTAAATTTTAAGACAAAGATGGAATTATCGATGTTCTCTGGTGGTGGTAGTGAGGATAGTTTTGTGTTGTCTCAAAGGCGGAGCTCGCATTTTGATGTGAGTTATTGGCTTTAGAAATATCATTTTTAGAAGCTTAGATTTAACTCAAGAAACAAACCGCTTTCTTAAAAATATATCCTAATTGTCCTAACTTTTCCGATCAGTGTTCTGAGTACAGAGTTAGCACCTCAAAAAGCCCACAAATATATGGTCAATTCACTTTACGGTCTATCGTGTGAAGCACTTTGAGATGTCGAGAAGATGTGAAAAGCGCTATATCAAATGCAAGGATTATTACTATTATTATTATTGTTATTATTATTATCATACTTGGATAGATGCTGAGCAATGCTCAATGTGCAATTTGAATTTAAACCCACCATCTCCTTCCACAAATAGCTCCAGAAATTCTTGAAAGTCTTTCGGAACCTTGAGTCGTTGAAAATAACTGTGAAAGTGATACGAGGACACAATGACATCCTTGGGATTTCTGGCAATATAGATGACCTGAAACGAGCAATAGCAAGTCATTCAGCAAATCCCGTTTGAGGATTGTGGAGAGTTTGTGGTTTTAGCTGGTTAGACTCCAGCAGTACTCCAAGGAGTCCTGTAGCTCAGTGGTTAGAGCACTCGCTTTGCAAGCGAGAGACCTGAGTGCAATCCCCGGGGGGTCAGGGCCAAACCTTGGGCAAGTTTCCTTACTCCACACAGAGCCCTAATAATAATCCCTCCAAAAAGCAAAAACGATAATAAATTGGTCATTTTCAATCTACGACTGTTTGTGGGACATTGCTGTGCGCAATTGGCCGCCGCATTCGCCCACAAATATACAGTCAATTCACTTTACAGTGTGTTCTGTGAAGCGCTTTGGGACGTCCTCCCGACGTGAAAAGCGCTATATCAAATGCAAGGATTATTATTATTATTACGCACACTCTGGGGTCCTCAAGCCTTGCCTCTTGTCAACCTGTGCCTAATTATCTCATTAGAGAGCAGCTTTTGTCCAAGGAGAGAATGGGCATTCCATTCCAATATCTGGAATTTCCAAGGTATATGTGGGATGCACAGAACTCTGATTTCGATACTCTTACGCATGGTGATGGGCTGACCAAAAATAAATGAAATGTAAGGGACGTGTGAAACCCACCTTTCCCATTTTCTTTTTCAAGGCGGTCGGAATCATTTGGTAGTTTAAGTGTGACGTTATCAGCACAGGCTTAGTGCGACTGTCGGATTGCTGCCTGAACAACTGAAAATCTATCCATGGGGCTCTTTGATAGAGGCTTTCGTTTTTCACAGAATCAACATCACCATCAGCTAAAACCAGACTTACAATCTGCTGCATCCAGGTAGTTCCTGAATTAGAAAACGAAGTAATGATATGCAAGTGCTGAATACAGTATGGCAAAAAACAGGTTATTGGTGAGGAATTTCCCGTTAAAGCTGATGATTTGTAACAGGAAATCTAACTAATGTTTCTCACATTTTGATGTCATTGAAGGGCAGAGAGGGAGTGTGTGATATGAGAGACTAGTTGGGTTTAAATGTATTGTATAATATAATAAGAATTGGATTTATTATTATTATTATTAATAATAAGCACTTTGTCAACAGTTATGTCTCCCCCTTACCCCTTGCCTCCCACCCTGCACAGGCTACCATTCCGACTCAGTGAAGCACTTTACAAGATTATCAGGAGCTGTGTGGGAAGAATCCCTATTCCGTCTCCAGTGCCTGGTCTGTCCCTGCAAGTTCTGCCAATGAGCCAGGCTGGCTGGGCTATCAAGAGCAGCGCTCTGCAGTACTACAGACCCACCTGGTTCAGAAACCAGACTACCAAGACCACTACAGAGTGTTGACTCGATTGCAAGATTCCAGTGCAACAACTTTCATCTATTTTGTGCCCTTCACACCAGGTAGCGTCTCGGAGCGCGATAAGCACAGGTTTCACCCCCCAATAGGTGGATGGCAGATATTAGGAACTATCTGAGAGTTTCCTGACAATTTCTTACTTTCCACAAACATATCACAAACTTAATTCAGCAGTAATTGTGGTCAAAACATCATGATTCACAATAAGAGAGTCTGACCAGATTTGGGATAAGATACAATGAAAACATCATCTTGATGAACTTTGTAGTCTTTCACCCAATCCAAGTGTTCAACTGAAGTCATGTTTGTGATAAACTTGATGCCATTGTACTCGAAATACTTTTCTTGCTTCTCAGTATTGTCCATGACCTGAAAAGAAATATGAAATATCAAGTATTTTTTTCCTCCTCGGGTAAACTTGTACAATGTTCATTTTGGATATTAATGAATGAATAATAACTATTTTTCCAGTTTTCACTACACACAGAAATTTGGTTTCAATGGAAAACCAAACATAATTTTAAAAATATTTAAATATATAATTTTTTTTAAGATTGTTATATCTTTTACAGGTGTCCAGTGTGGAGATATGATCTGTGTACTTTATTACCTTATCATAGAGGTTCCCTTCCCATCAATCATTGTTTCCTGACGAAATATATTATACAGTATTTGCTAAACTCAGGGAAGCAATCAGGACAGAGCGGAGGCGGAGGCTGGGCCTAGCGACCAGCATAAAAGGAACGGCTGAGGCAAGCACTCGGTCACTCGGGGCGATGCAAAGTACTCATTCAGTACTTCAGCCATGCCCTCTGCCTCCACAATAAGATTTCCACCTTGGTCCTTAATTGTCCCCACTCTACCTTTGACTAACTATATGTTTGTAAAATATTTTAGGATTCCCTTTAATGTTACCCACTAACCTTTTTTCGTATAATCTTTTTGCCGCTCTTATTTCCTTTTTCAGTTCTCTTCTGTATTTCCTATATTCTATTTGGTTGTCTTCTGTATCTTGGGTTTGACATTTGTCATACGCCTCCTTTTTCTGCTTCATTCTAGACACAATTACCTTTGTCATCCAGGGAGGTTTGGATGTCCTACTATTCCCTGTTGTTGGAATGTATTTGTTCTATCCCCGAGCTATCTCATCCTTGAAGACTTCCCACTGCTCTTTAGGTGTTTTACCTGCCAATCTTTCTTTCCAGTCCACCTTGGCTAGGTCCCTTTTTAACTCACTGAAATTAGCCCTCTCCAGTTGAGTATCTTCACCTTTGATGGTTCCTTGTCCCTTTACATATGCACTCTGAATCTAATGATGTTATGATCACTATTGCCCAGATGCTATCCCACTGAAACCTCTCCACTTGCCCTACTTCATTCCCCAGAACACGATCCAGTACTGCTTCCTTCCTCGTTGAGCTGGAAACGTACCGAAAGTTGTCCTGTATGCATTTTAGGAATCTTTCCCCCTCCTTGCCCTTTGCGCTGTTGTTTTGCCAGTCTATGTTGGGATAATTAAAGTCCCCCATTATCACGACTCGATTGGCTTTGCATCTGTCTGAGATCTGCTTGCAGATTTGCTCATCTATTTCCTTCCCACTATTTGGTGGTCTATAGTATACCCCTACCAGCATAACAGCTCCTTTTTTGTTCCTTAACTCTAACCAGATAGATTCTGATTTGGGGCCCTCCAGCACCTCGACCCTTTTCACGGCTATAACCGTATCCTTGATTAAAATTGCCACATCCCCTCCTTTTTTTCCTTCCCTACCCCTCCTGAATACATTATAGCCAGGAATATTCAGCTCCCATTCCTGTCCTTGCTTGAGCCAAGTCTTTGTTACTGCTCCCCCTATGACCACTTGAGCTGCAGCTTGATTGATCCTGCCACTATGGTACTTATTTGCCTGAGGCACAGGGAGTAATCCAGAGATCACCACCTTGGATGTTCAATTCAATTCAGTTCAATAGTTTGTTCCCCAGCTTTTGATATTGACCCTGTAGAGTCTCAGCCCTTTTCTTTTTACCAATATCATGGATCCCCACTTGGACCACCACTTCTGGATGTTCTCCTTCCCCCTGAAGAATTTCATCCACCCTTTCTGCGATGTTTAAAACTGTTGCACCAGGGAGGCAACATACCATCCTTGACTCCCATCTTCTGTTACAGAAACATCAGGTTTGCAGGGTTATGGGGAAAGGGCTGGGGAGTGGGATTGACATTAATTGCTCTATTCAAAGAGCTGGCACAAACTCGATGGGCCGAATGGCCTCTTTTTGTGCTGTATGATTCTATGAAATTGTCACCAACCAATACACCACATTACCATAACAAATATCAATGTTTAAAACTTATTTCAAAAGGCTTCAAAGAGACAGTGGTTAGAGCATTCACCTTGCAAGAGAGAGACCTGGGTTCGATTCCCAACAAGGCAAGTTTCCTTACTCCACACGCCTGATAATAATCCCTCAAGAGAAAAAACAATAATAATTCGGTCACTTCAATCCACGACTGTTTGTGGGACATTGCTGTGCACAATTGGCTGCCACATTTCTCCCACAAATATACAGTCAATTCACTTTACAGTCTATTCTGTGAAGCGCTTTGAGACATCTAGAAGACGTGAAAAGCGCTATATCAAATGCAAGGATTATTATTATTATTAAATGACAACAGAAATACTCATCGTTACCTGACAGAAATAGGACTACCATATCTGACGTCCAAAGTACATCTAATCAGTCCATCCCACTGATGTGGGAAAACAGTTTCATAACTTCTTGCATAAGGATTTCACAATTAAATCTGCCTTTTCCACTCTAGCATTAACATCAACATATTACCTTTCAAGCATAATAGCTGAAAGGTTCAACATAGTTAGATTTTTCAAAGTTGTTTTTAGAATAGTTTGAGAGAAAATCACTTTGAAACTGCTTACCACAACCGTGTAAGGAAAAGGGCCAGTTCAATACTGATTCAAAAGAGAAAGGATCTCAAGTATGCTTTCACTGGTTTCACTGTCCTTTGAACTTTAAATAACAAGTTTAATCGAACTGTTTCTAGTAATTTCCAGGTAAAATAGGTTACTCGCTGAACATTGGAACATTGCTGCGTTTTATTTTAACTGGGTTTGCACAAAACAGAAACATTAAAAACAGGCAATTCAAAGCAAAGTAGCCCATGTAGAGAAGTGACCTAAAATAATCAGGCGGGGAGTGAAAACTGCTGATATTTACATTTTTACATTTACATTTTTACGTTCTCCTGAAGTAAAAGTCGCTATGCAAATATACAAATGTCATTTGTCGTTGAAGTGGGGAACCATGATATACCGAAGTATAGCTGAGTTACACTTGGTCAGTTGGTCTGAGAGTTTAGTGTGAGAGTGAGTACATTGTCCACTCCTCCGGGAAGGCAGTGAGCTCCCACCCCGAGGTTCTGAGATTCTCCAGCGCCTTGGGACGTCCTCCCGACATGAAAGGCGCTCTATAAATATAATTTTGTTGTTTTTAACCAAGGAGTTTTCAAATTTTTTATCACAGCTCAGACATCCTTTAAGAAATTAAATGAGCAATTCAGATAACCCGGTGAAAACTCCAAAACAGCATGAAATTTCAGATGCAAACAAAGAAATTGGATTTTGCCTTCCACTACAATATTGGCAGAGGACATCATTCCCACTTAATTGTCGTTTTGTCATAATCATTTCATCAAAAGGACAGTTTCACTAGCTTTTCTGGGTTAATCAGCACAGCCTTGTTTGGCTACAACTTAGTAAGGAGAATGAACACTTGGCAATGGTAGCCTCAATAATGCATCATACCTCCTGTCAGCTCAGTGGAACATTGTGTTCATAACCATGATCAAGAGTAACCTAGACTAGACCACCACGTCAACCGGGAAGGGATTTGCTGGAAGATCTACTCAGCAGCAAAATAAAAAAATACAAGCATAGATAATTATTTGGGGAGGACAAGTTTGCAGGACTATGGGGAAAGAACGGGGGAGTGAGGTTGATCACGGCTATGGAGAGAAAGAGGAGCAGTGGGATTGAATTGGATAGCTCTTTTCAAAATAGTTGGCACAGATACGATGGGCCGAATGGCCTCCTTCTGTGCTGTTGTAGCTCAATGGTTAGAACACTTGCCTTGCAAGCGAGAGACCTGGGTTCAATTCCCGGCAGGGCAAAACCTTGGGCAAGTTTCCTTCCTCCACACGCCTAATAATAATCCCTCGAAAACCAAGCAGTAATAAATTGGTCATTTTCAATCCACGGCTGTTTGTGGGACGCTGTTGTGTGCAATTGGCTGCCGCGTTTCGCCCACAAATATACGATCAATTCACTTTACAGTCTATTGTGTGAAGCGCTTTGAGACGTTGAGAAGACATGAAAAGCGCTATATCAAATGCAAGGATTAGTAGTATTATTATAATTCTATGATTCTATGATAAATAGTGTAAGTTGAAAGCTGCTCGATTTTGAAATTCTGACTGGAAGCTTCCAAATAAATATCGTCACGATAGTGACCAATCCTCTGCTGATAATATGGAACATCATTGACCTTGTTATTCCAGTAAACAGGCTGCCTTATCTTGTGCTTTGTTCAATGTCATGAGCCATAGAATACCTACGTTCTGCAGCGTGTATGTTACAAGTACATGTTAAATTCCTCTTGTGGCTGGACCAGTCTCAAATGTGGTCAAACCAAGATCCGTACATCACTTAAAGATAAAATGGCAGATTGAGGCAATTGTAAAATAATGCATGAGTGCGATAGAATAGTAAGGAATTTTCTGGCTGAAATTGGCATGCCATAATTTTTAAAGAAATTCCTTAAAAAAAAGTGTGGTTCGGCTGACACAAATGGGGAAAAGGGCCTAGTGGTGGTGGATAGAGGGGATGTTTGTGACTTCTCAGAGCCTGGAGAACCTCACATGCTGGTCCACGACAACACAGAAATCTTAGTTTTCTGATCAGTGTTCTGAGTACAGAGTTAGCACACATCATATTTTGATAGCTGCTGAGCATTGCTGTGTGTGTGTGATTTCATTTTAACACTCCTTTCACAAACTGCTCCAGAAATTCTTGAAAGTCTTTAGAGGTCTTGAGGAACCGAGCTTAACTGTGGAGCGAGAGTACAGTGACAAACAAGACTAAATGTTTTCATTTTAGGAGCAAGCACAGACTCTAATACAATGGGTCAGAAAACCTCCTGCTATAAATTTATATGGTTCTATGACCAAAAGATTCAATTTACAGCACCTCGTGGTCTGGCGAAAGGAGCAAGGTGATCTCAGTTTGAATTTGTGTATTTCCTTTGAAACCGAGCTCATAAATGCACTACTTGCATTAAAGTATTCAATCTTCTACCCATAGGTAACACACTCATACTGCAAATCATCTTTTACTTTTAAGAAGTGTTTAAATACTCTTCTAAATGCTATAAATGGAAATACTGTATTTCTATTCATGCAAGTTAAATTTATTTAAAACAAAATTAAATTGTTTATTTGAAGTACTATCCATTCTGAAGCTAATTTGGAAGGAAACACATTCATTGATATATTACATCCTCACACTAATGGTCTCTCTGCTCTTTGCCAATTACCAAAATAGAAAGTAGGGAGTGAAACATGGAAGCTGTTCTTGTTTCAGGCTTCTTGGCTGCTTGAATAACCACAGAATAGCTGGACTGTCATGCTCTAAAGAAGATTTAACACTGACACTTCTTCAGTGAAACCCAACACACCTCTCTACGTGACCCACTCACATCCAATGTACGTATGATTACTGAATGTCATTGTACTTTAAACTCTTGTACAACGTATTTTATTCTTATCTGGATACTAAATGTTCCTGGTAAACAGTGCATAAAGAGATAAGTCAGTGAGCTCCTTTGAGCAAATTGTGCATAATAATAATCCTTGGATTTCATATAGCGCCTGATCATGTTTTTCGAGATGTCTCAAAGCGCTACACAGAATATACTCTGAAGTGAATTGACTGGGATTTAATTTATATTTAATGAAAATCAATTTCCACGTCACCCCGGGAGATGGGAATGATCTGCTTTTATTTCAACATTTCGATTTCCATTTTTGAGCTACTACAGAAAAAAAAGAAATTAGAGACAATATCAATGGAATGAGGAAAGGAAGATCAGACTAAATGTTATTTATCATATATGTTTTATTTGAATTATGTTACACGTTCCAGTGTGCGTAGAATTCAGATATTAGCAAAGGTCAAAGGATTATATCAAATATACGCTTGTGAAATGGCTTTCAATGTTTTCTTGAGTTCCTTTTAGAGAGTTTTGAGGTGTCTCCTCCCTCCCATTCCCGTTCCCACTGGACTAAGTAAAGATACAAATTAATCGGGAGGCGGGTATCTTGTCTGGTTTACCTGACATCGTGGGTTAACCAACACTGGGCTTACTTGGCTTCCACTGTATTATGAAGAAAGTAAATCAGGAATGTCCCAGTAAAACTTCACAGGAATGTCCGCCATCCGCTCCTTGCAGATGGAATCGAACCATTCATTCTGGGCCACGAGGAAATGATTTTTCCAATCTCCAACAGTCCCTAAAGATGAAAGGATACCAAACTTTTTAAAAAGCACAATCAGTGGTTTCTCAGCCCATGTTTAGACTGACACTGACTAACACAATACTTCATAATAATGCTCGGATTTGATATAGCTCCTATATTGCTCCTATATAGCTCCTATAGGTCACAGTGTAGAAAAAGTATATGTCAGAACATTTCATCACAATTCAATAACAGTTTACGGATGGAAAATGCTCGTCCAGATCCCAGTGGCCATTACAATCATTAGTTTGGTATTCATAGATCTGACTGATATACATATATATACATATATATTTTTAGTCAGCCACAGGTGTCCGACACATCTGGAAACCCATTGCCATGCTTAAGAGCATCCAAAACCAGACTAAGCTTTCCACATATGTATGCTGCCCACTTATAGGAATCGCATTGTGTCTGAATGGAATGTGCTCTCTTTTCCTGGAGGAGTGCGCCCTGCTCACCTAATTCAGGAGAGTCTTAGGTTCAGGTTGGTAAGAGCCAAGGCTTGGGGACACTGTACACCATTGCCAATATTCCATGACCAACCACGTCACCTCGGAGGCAGCTCAGCTCAGAGGAGACCCCACTTACCTCCCTAAACCCCTCCTCTCCTCTCAAGAGGATATAACCAAGTATCCAGGAGCAAAGAATTTATAAGGACTCAACTTTCAAAGAAACCTTATGATGAAATCTTGCTGATCTGGTCCTTCCTATGACAATGTGTGGCATTACTCACCTTTTCTTAAAAAGGTACCACGATTGTGATCGAAAATGGTCCTGGATACCCATTGGTAGTTGGTTGCAGGGTTTTCTTTCATGGATTTAAAGGTGCAGCAGCTAATGATGGAGTCTACACTCTTTCCATCCAACTGTTTGCCGAGAAAATTTGCAACTTTTTCTATCACACCTCTGACATCCTTTTAAAAAGAAAACATTAAAGCTTGGTTCAGAGCAATCCAAAGTAGCTTGTCATTTCAATTCTTTTGACAACTGGTATTTATTTCCCTTCTACAAAGGGACATGTTGGACATCAGTAAAACTCCTCAAATAGTCTCCTGCTGTCCTAACTTCCACAGTAAAACACAGGCAAAATTGCATAGAATTATACAGATTGTACGAAATGGAAAATTGCAGAATTCAATCCTAATTTTGAACTCGGATTTCTGTAGCTCTTAAAAGAACTTGGAGAATACTGGCTTCGAAATAGCAGCGGTGTTTAATAATTTGCCAAATTCTGAATGCTCTAAAGTGCTAGATAAATACAGTAAATCTAGACCCGCTGGAATCTCTCCCCAGGAGAAGCAGTTGTTCACTGCAGTTGGCTCCTGGCTCGCTGAAGGAATAATAACCGGAACATCTCACGAGATCAGACTTAGCCATTCCTCCTGTTAATGAATGTACTGACCTTGGCAGGCAAGCAGGCTCGATGGGATTTACCTTGGCCAAGAATCACTCGCACACCAAGGAAAATTTAGGAAATTACTGAGGATCAGCAAATCATTCATAGATTTTAATCAATGACAACGTTAGCGTTGCAAACACTTTCACTGAGTTTGATATATTGAAGAGAAAGCTTGAAATTATAATATCTTTTTACATCAGTCATCCAAAACGGCAAGTTCCATCAGCCTTTCTGAGCTATTAGTCAGGAAGGTAAGGAAGTTAACCAGCTGGAATACTGATTCCATTACACATCCCAGAAAATGAAAGGAATTCAAATGAAGTACCAATATCAGAAGCAATAACAACACGTTTTAATGCTTAATACCACTGCTACCAAACTGCCGACCACAGTATTCTAACAAGTCCCCAACCATAAATGACTTTCAATCATTGTGTTACCTACTTTAAACATCTCCTCAAACGTTACAAACAGCATGTTGGGTTCATCCTTGTGGCTGTACCAGTCTCTAACGTGATCAAACCAAGGCCCATACAACACTTCAAAGAAAAAATAAATAAGATAATGAATTGGGATGAAAAGGAACAGCAACAACAACCACAACAAATGACATTTACACAGCGCACTTCATATCAGGAGGACGTCCCAAGGCGCTGGACAGTCAGGGATTTGGACCTGAGCAGTGGTTGTGATCAGGAGGGGTGGAGTGCAGGGAGGACAGGGAAGATGGGGGTAGGAGGCTGACCAAAGGCGCGGTCGAAGAGGAGCATCTTGAACGTGCCTTGAAGGAGGGAAATGAGGGAGCGAGGCAAAGGGGCTGTGGGATGGGGGCAGAGAGGCTGATGGTTGGGTGGGCCTTGCAGGGAAGGTGGAGCAGTTGACCATATTTATTTTATAAACCTACCATTTCCTTCCACAAACTGCTTCAAGAACTGTTCAAAGTTTTCGGGAGTCTTCAGGAACTGACTGTAAATGTGAAAGTAATACGAGGACACAATCACATCCTTGGGGTTTCTGGCAACATAGATGACCTAAGTCGGGAAATAATTAATAAAACACGTCAACACATTGTATTGTGAAAACACACCCAAAATACACACTGACTTCACTTTCACAGTAAGTCCTGTGAGACCCTTTGCGATGTCCTCCCAATGTGAAGGGCGCTATATCAAACGCAAGATTATCTTTATTAATAATTCATAAAATCAAATCAATTCTACAACTTAGCACAGGTCAGTGATAATTCCAATTTTATATTTAAATCTGTAAGAAAAACACAGAAGACAGGCTAAGGACATGTTACATTTTCTCTCCAAGAAATCAATGGCCAGAGTTTCCCTTCACAGATGATAAACATAAAAAACCCTTGCAGAAATCAGGATTATGCCATGATAATATCTTAGCCAATACAGCAATAGCTGGCTGACATCTTGCCATTGCAATTAATAGTGTATTGTGCTTTAGATGAAATGCAAATGCAGTGCGAAACGTACCTTTCCTACGTTGTGTTTCAAGGCATTTGGACTCATTTGATAGTTTAAATGGGTTGTCAGCAGCTGAGGCTCAGTTTGACTGTCTAACCTGCGTTGAAACAAACAATCTTCCACCCAGGGGGCTCTCTCGTAGACAGATTTGTTTTTTACCGAATCGATATCATTGTTGCCTAAAATCAGACTTGCAACCTGCTGCATCCAAGTGGTTCCTGGATTTGGGAGTAAAATAAATCACATTCATTTAGTGCTATTTGGTCAGCCAGTATTTATTCCACCCTCAAAGTATCAGTCATGGATCAGAGCAAAGTGTTGCACAGGTTTGAGATCATCCTCCCACTTACATTGACTCCACTGACAGGTTGTCAAAGAAAGAAGGAAAGTTGGTCACAAGGTCAGAGTATTTCTCCTTCGAATTCCCCAGCCAGCTCTCCCAATTATTGAGTCAGGATGTGCTGTTGATAGCTGAATTGGGTTCAAGGCTTGTGTAACTGGTATTTTTTTCGAATGATTTTTTAAGAATTCCAACTTTAGTGTTGTGGCTGACATTGAACGATCTACAGGGTGACCTCCGCAAGGCTGTCAGATGTGGACTGCAGCCTTACAGATCCTGAACCTGGATGTCTGGCCACCTGGCTGCAAATCAGGCTCAATGCCCAACTGATAGCAATGGCTAAAATAAGAGGTTTGTAATGAAGTGAGTAATTTTCATGACTGTGTCTTGGCTGTGTATTGCTGTGCGCAAATTGGCTGCGCATTTGCCTGCAAACAAACAGTGACTACACTTCACAGTAATATCCTGTGAAGCGCTTTGAGACATCTCGACCGTGTGAAAAGATGCTCTATCAAATAAAAGAATTGTGATTATTATTGGTGTTTATAACCCCTAAAGATGTGACTGTGGTTTAGTTGCTAACTGGTAATTCTCATGCTATTTGTGGAAACTGCTTCTTCTTTGTAACATAAAACTCAAACTGAGACATTTAACTTGCATAAATGATTTGTACGGAGTATAAGTTCTATCCATTAAACTGTTGGTGTTTGTTTGCAGAATCTTTGCATTCTCCAAACAACCAGGTTTGCGTAGTTGAAAACAATTTCAAGGAAGCCTTTTCACTGGTACAGCGCCTTGGGACGTCCTCCCGACGTGAAAGGTGCTCTATAAATGGAATCTTGTTGTTGTTGTTGTTGGTAAATATACTTCCTGCCAATTACAAAGGAAGAAATCAAGGAGGGGATCTTGGCTTTCATCACAGAGTGTACAGTTCTCATTTCAATCTGCTGCAATGCTTGATTATCTTCAGAATAAATGGCCTTAGAAGCCAGTCATAAACTAACAATTTGGTAATAAATTGAACAAAAGAGGCATGAATTATAGAATATAAAATATTCTGACCAGATTTGGGATATGTAATAATGAACACATCATCTTGAAGCACTTTGTATTCATTTGCCCAGTCCAACTGCTCCACTGAATGGATCGGTGAGACAAAGCGAATGCCATTATGAAGGAATTCCTGGAAATCAGTTTTTGTCGTTATATTTTCTGCCATCGTGAATTACCTTAAAGAGAAAGGGTGAAAATACAGAGTTAGTCACTGCAGAAACATGTCCCAACACCCATCTTCAAATATCAATTGGAAAACCTTGATAGCAAGAAGGTCCAGACTTGAATATACAAGTGACAAAGTGGAATATGATTTCCAGCTGAGAAAAGGCACAACTTTGAGAAGAATAAGAGAGAAAAATGAGCTACACTGAAGTACTACAGTTTATTATCTGAGGATTCATGGTTTCTCTTATTCTTAGCACGTCAATGGCTCCAATCAAGATACAGTAAATCATGACATGACAACCAAATGGATTTTGCTTTAAGTTCAAAAGCACCCCCTTCCCTTAATATATAAATATATTATACTTATTATTTATGAATCATCACCGCCCTGCATTAGTATAGCAGCAAGTTCTGGGATCCACTGGAGTATCTACAATGCTAAATACACCCAAATACAAATATTTTAAGTTCCCTTGAAAGTTTAAGCAACGAAAACAAGGTCAAATGTACTTACGACAAGCATTCTTGAGAAAGGATATCTTCAACAAATATCCACAAAGTTTACCTGTGACCTGATTTGAGATGTTCTCCCGATTCGAAGGCAGCTATCTCTAACAGTAAGATTTGTTTCTGAGTTGAATTGAATCTATATAATTCTCCCAAAGCACTTCAAAGTGCATTTGGTTGCACAAGTAATGAACTTTGAAGTTCAGAAGAAGAAAGCCTGAGTGAGCATCTGTTCAAAGGTTGAAATCTCACATTAACAACCAATAAGGAATTTCAATAGAATAAGATGTTTTTGATTGTGTCCACGCAATTCTGATATCTTTAGTGATAATGAGAGGTTTTAAACTTACCAGGAATCAATCGGGAGGAGAATTGAGAACAATAGGAGAGGCGAGCTGTTCCTGGGAACGGTAAGGACAGTTTTATAGCTCAGTTGGTTGATTCCTTAGGAGGAGGACCTTGGATTTGGTGTTCTGGAAGAACCAGTAATTGGTAAAGAACGTCACAATTAGAAAGCTCCAGGGAAGCAATAACCTCATCCTAATCAGAACATACTGAACCTTTGTGAGATCTATTGGTCGCCGTCTCACACGCACTACAAAACACACACTCACTACATTTTACAGTAGATCCTGCAAAGCAATTTTGAGGTGTCCTGCTGAAAGATGCAAGGATTATTATTATTTAGTAAAGGAATCCATTCAAAAGGTTCTGCAAAATTAGAGTTGAGAAAGACAAGAAAACATATAATCACCCAGACCCCAGACTTACTCCGGGGCACACTGTGAAGCATCATGAGCAAGCCCACTATTATTGTCTCTCGGTGCTGTGCGAGCAGGTCAAGTGCACATTCCAGATACATTTTGATGCTTCTTGCAAGAGACAGAATGGAAAAAAAGAAAACAGAGAGAGAGAGAGAGAAATAAAGTCAGAGCTAGAGACCAATGCCTAAAAGCACATCACAATGTGGTTAATAATAATAATAAAAGTAATAATCCTGGCATTTGATATAACGCTTTTCACGTCTTCTCGATGTCCCAAAACGCTTCACAGAATATACTGTAAAGTGAATTGACTGTATATTTGTGGGCGAACGCGGCAGCCAATTGCGCACAGCAATGTCCCACAAACAGTCATGGATTGAAAATGACCAATTTATTATTGTTTGGTTTTGGAGGGATTATTATCAGGCTCTGTGTGGAGTAAGGAAACTTGCCCAAGGTTTCGCCCTGCCAGGAATTGCAAGGCGAGTGCTCTAACCACTGAGCTACAGGACTCCGAGGATGGCGGGCAGATAGACGTGAAAGATAGATGAGCGTCGTATTTAGAATGCACTTCATTGTATTCAGTACAAGTGTTTAAAATTGTTTTTTGAGGGGAGCCACTTTTTGGAACCGTTTCTCAAAATCACAACCCACATTTTCCATTGTCTTGACCACGACATGTTCCTTCGATGGTGTATACTGTATACTGGTATCGGACGTTGTTACACCCAAATCATCTGCCACAGATAATAAAAATTCATAAGGAAAAAAACGAGGTGGGTGAGTGGGAGGGTGAGGGGTGTGGGTGAGGGGGTAACAGGACTTTATAAACACTCTGTAGAATAGATACTCAGAAAGGAGTGATTTGGGGGTTTATGGGGAAAAGGCAGGTAAATTGAAATTAATGGATTGCTCTTTCAAAGAGTAAGTCAGACACAATGGGCCAAATGGACTTCTTCTGTGCTGTGAATCTCTATGGCCCTAAGGTTCTTTCAAGATCCAGGTTTTTCAGAACTCTGCCCCCTGGATACTGACCCGAACCAAACCCGAGCCACATCTAACCCTAACCCTCGCCAGTTCTGACCCAGGCTCCACAGGCTCCCCATCACCGAACGGATCGACTTCAAGATCCTCTCACTTGTGTTCAAATCCCTTCCTCTCACTTGTGGCACCTCCCTCCCTTTCCGACCCCCTCACTCCCCAATCCACCACCCGGCGCCTCCTCTCAACTGGCACCGGCTCCTGCTCGTCCCTCGCGTCTTCCGCCCCACCATCGGAGGTCGCGCTTTCAGCCACTACACTCCAAAACTCTGGAACACTCTCCCTCAATCCGTCCGCCTTGTCCTCGCTCTCCCCCTTTTCAAGTCCTGCCTGAAGAGCTTCCTCTTCAACCGTGCTTACAGCCACCTCCCCCTAACCCCCCCACACCTGGCTCGGAGTCAGGCTCCGCTACTGTTAAGCGCTCTGAGATGCTGCCCTGTGTGGAGGGCGCTATGTAAGTGCAAGTTGTTGTTCTTCTTCTTGTAGGGTCAAATTTCAACTAGCAAGTTTCACACTTCAGACATGTATCAAGTGACCACATTCGCTATAGCAATTGCTAACTGCAAGGCTCATGAACTTTACCACTGTTCCCTAATCCACTTGACTTGTGGACAGTTAATACAGATCAATAGTACTCCGACAACTTCCTGTCATAGGACATCATCAACCTGATCACAGAATCATAGAATCATAGAATTGTACAGCACAAAAAGAGGCCATTTGGCCCATCGAGTCTTTGCCGGCTCTTTGAATAGAGCAATGTAATGTCAATCACACTTTCCAGCCCTTTCCCCATAACCTGCAAACCGGTCCTCCTCAAATACCTGTCCACCGCGTTTTTAAAAGTAGTTATCGAATCAGCCTCGACCGCCCTCTCAGGCAATGCGTTCCAGATTCGAACAACTCGCTGCGTGAAAACATTTCTTCTCACCGCCCCTCGGCTTCTTTTAGAGACTATTTGAAATCTGTGACCTCGAGTCACCGACACACCCACCAGTGGAAACAGTTTTTCCCGTTCTAACCTATCAAATCCCCTCATGATTTTGAAGACCTCTATTAGGTCTCCTCGTAACCCTCTCTGCTCCAATGAGAATAATCCTAGATGTTGTTAATTAATCTGCAAAATGTTGTGATTCTTGTCAATTGAAATACTTCTTCTATTTCTGGTTGTTTATTCATTGCACTTAAAAAAAAGTGGTTGATGTGTGTACAAAGTGCACATGAGATGAAAACTGGAAATGTGCTGAAACCTTTGGTACAGTATGACTTGGACACCAAGTCCCACGCCAGGACATCACAAGGACAGGGGGTTGGACCCTGAGAGACAGGATGGGGGGGGAGGTGTGGGGAGGGGTGTTGCAATCATTGAGGTAGGTTTTTAGACAGGATTGAAATATGGAAAGCAAGGTCACATAGAACCACGGGTCACATATCCAAGAACAAAACATTCAGCAATTATTTCCTCCTCGGGGGGGTTGTGTTGGGCCTGATAAGCAGGGTCTCCTTGCAGCTGAACTGACTTCAAGATGACATGTTTGGCAGCAGAATGTCGGAATCCAGCCAGCCCTCTGTGTCTCGGTAGTCAGACGGCTCCACAGTACTCCAGGGTACTGGTGATGACAGCCCAGCTTGGCTCGTCAGCAGGACCTGGAAGGGCAGACCAGTCACTGGGGGAAGGGAGTCCTCCCACACAGTTACTGTTAACCCAGCAAGCCTAAGCCCTAATGGGTAGGGTGGTCCTAGCTTGTTGAGAAGCGGGAAAGCTTGCCAGATACCACTGTCAATGGCAAGCTATGTGGTTTTAGCAGGTTAGACTCCAGCAACTCTGAGGTCCTCAAGCCTTGGCTCTTGCCAACCTGCGCCTAATACTTTCCGGAATTAGGTAAACAGGATGTGTCCCTCCAGAGAGAGAGAGCGCACTCCATTCCAACAATCTATCTCTGGGATTTCCATGTGTAGGTGCGAGGCCTGGAATTCTCAGTTTAGTTTGGATGCTCTTAAACACAGTGATGGGTTTCCACATGTGTCAGACACCCGGCTGGTGAAAAAGAAGGAATGTTTTGAAGGAGGCAAGAGAGGGAGCGAGGCAAAGGAACTGTAGGATGCAGTTCCAAAGGGTGGGGGCAGAGAGGCTGAAGGCCCGACCGCCAATTGTGGGCCGGATGTGGGACTTGGAGCAGACCAGAACCTGGCGAGCGGAGGGAACAGACAGGTTGATTTGGAGTGAGTAGGTTACAGAGATAGGAAGGAGAAAGGCTGTGGAGGCTTTGCGGGCGAGGTCAAGGAATACAGTTGTTTTTATTGCCTGCTGGCCTGAGTCCAAGACCACAGTGTGTGTGCAGATGTGGGAGTGGGTAAGAAAGAGAACATAGTGTAACTGCCGGCAGAGGAGGACATGTGTTTCTAACCTGACAGGTGGTTCAGGATCAGTGATCTTAAAGCTGCTGCTTGAATAGGCATATATTTACTCAAATTATATAACAAAGTTCTATTTTAGTACAGAACATTTTAAGCAAATGCTTATAACTTATTGTTCTCGATTGGTCTGAATGATAAGCTTGTCCTAATAATATACAGCATGCAGGATGTGACCACATCCACACAATCAAATCAAAAGCTTGTGTGGGGTTTAAGAGTTCATTTGCAGCGTTTAATCAAATTGGTTACTTTTGGCATTCGATTGAAAGAGGTTCAATAAGCGCCACAACATTGTAAAAGGGAAGCCACATGCAGACATTTGCCCACAAAGTACAGTCACTCCACCTTAACAGTAAATCCTGTGAAATGCTATGAGATGTCCTCCCAACATGAATGGTGCTGCATCAAATGCAGAGATTATTATTGTTAATAGAAATTATATTTGGGGGACTTTTCAATTCATTTGTCACATTCCCACCCAAAATACTGGCGAGAAAGTTGTTCCTCGAGTCCCACTGTTGCTATTCTTTAGCCGCACAGTAGGGGGCGCACAAGCTCAGCACAGAATGCCTGGCTCTCCTTCATGGAACAGTGGCTGGTGCACGGAACCATAGATTCACACAGTGATCAACTCTAGACACTAATTGATCAGCAAAATAATATTAATAATAATCCTTGCATTTGATACAGCGCCTCCTCACGTCTTCAAGACGTCTGAAGAGCTCTGAGATGCCGTCCGGCGTGGAGGGCGCTATATTAATCCAAGACGTTGCTGTCTCAAAGCGCTTCACAGGATATTACTGTAAAGTGAATTGGCTGTATATTTGGACTTTACATTGTGGAATCCTGTAGTTCAGTGGTTAGAGCACTCGCCTCACAAACGAGAGACCTGGGTTTGATTCCCGGTAGGGCAAAACCTTGGCCAAGTTTCCTTACTCCAAACACACGTTTCATAATAATCCCTCAAGAAAAAAAAACAATAATAAATTGGTGACTTCAATCCACGACTGTTTGTGGGACGCTGCTGTGCGCAATTGGTTGCCGCGTTTCGCCCATAAAATATACAGTCAGTTCATTTTACAGTATATTCTGTGAAGCGCTTTGAGATGTCTCGAAGATATGAAAAGCGTTATATCGAATGCAAGGATTATTAGTATTAATAGTAAATGTGGCA